TTAGTTGGTAACAGGACCTAAGCCTCCCAGACTTGAATTTGGGGGTTATATTGAATGAGAGCTCAACTCTGGGTTCAGCACTATCTAGTTAATCTGAAAAATGTCTCCCCTTCAAAGCAGCGGACTTCCCAAAGGAAGGTGTGAAAGATTAGAAGTCAGTCACCAATCGCCAATCACTGTTACACTGTTTTCACATTGTCGCCTTGACAAAATTCAAAAAATGAAAACAGAAAAAAAATTTAAAAGTCAACTATAGCCTCATCCAACAGAAAGTGCCAATGGTGCTAGTCCCATTCACCTAACTGCTAGAACCCTGCATAATTCAATGGATAATTTAATTTGTTTTTAATTATGGAATCACAGAGGCTGAGAGCTAGGAAGGAATGCAAAGGCCATACAGTCTACCCTCCTACCTCAAAAAAGAATATCTTCCCCAGCACATGAGACAGGTAAATTGGCATAATTCTGAAAATACAATCCTTTCATGTAACAGTTTTTCAGATACTTTAAGGTAATAACTACACCTCTCTCCACTCCCAACCTCTTTTCCGGGCTAAAATATCTCCAATTCCTTCAACTATGCCTCATCCGACATCATCTCCAATCTCCTTACCCTTCTGGTTTCCAATGTGCTCCATTTTGCCAATATCCCCCTTATAATAAAGCAGCCAGAAATGAAAGCAAACCTATAGGTATGATCCAACCTTGGTAAGAATTTTCATTAAGACAAAAAGATGGAGTATATCATTTCAAATTTTAAATAATTGTTAAGTGTTTATCATGTATTAGGTACGACATAGTAAGAATAAAAGTGAGACAGAAAATTAGCCGTTGAGATTCACAGCTCAGATGGTGGAATGAATGGCAGTGGAACAGATAAGCTCTGACTACTTTAGCAAGGATCAAAAAAAAACACTGGAAGGAGTAATAATCAAGAAATTCAAGTAGAAATAATTCTATGCGCCTTTTCCAGCCCAAGTCTGCACAAAAGGACGACTAGAAACCTGCAGGCACTAGGGAAGGGGTACAAGCAGTGACACCTGGAGCTTGCAGCTATATATCTGGAAGGCAGACAGAAGCCCAGACCAGGGATGAAATGAGAGGAACCTAGAGTCTACAGCTATGTTGCACTGATACCAGACAGTGTTTAAGAGGCTGCAGAACTCAGACTTGGGGGAGGGGGGGGAGGGTAGGAGACATGCAACAGAAAATGCCCTAGATATGATTGTGCCTTAAAGTTCTGAAAGTACAGCTCAATGACCTGAGCTGTCCCTGAACTCCTTGAAGAATATCATGGTCAGTGCCTAGAGGAAGGACCAGATATAAGGATTAAATAAGGCAAACATTCTTTTTGGGAAATGACACAAAGTCCCAATTCAGGAAATAAGGCTGGAATTATGAGCAAACGGAAGGCAGTGATGATCAAGACACAAACCCAGAAGAAAAGATTAACTCTACAACAACCACAAACAAAACCACAACTGAAAATGAATCTGAGCAAGATACAAGAAAAAAGACCAGAACAAAGTATCTGAATAGACCAGCACCTAAAGTTCAGCTTTAGAATCTGTAGTCCATATAGTTTATTAGATATTAGGGGGTTTTTTTCCCCATTACTTTCTTGTAGAAGACATTTTCAGTAGCAAACACTTTGGATGTACAATGAACAGAAAACAGATGCACCATCCAATTTGAAGGTGGAATCCCATGAGACCACAGTCAACTGGAAGGCCAAAAATTCTGTATAACAGGAAAAAGGTTTGGCTATTCTGACAAAAGAAGAAACAATGAACACAAGATAATAAATGCTAGTATTTGGTGGATCCATATTCTTACTGTGTCAAGTACTAGCATATAGAATTAATGAATAAAAGAAAAGAAGAAAAAAATCAGGGCACACAAAAAAAGTCATTGTTAGTCAAACAGAATAAACAAACATTTGAAGACTCATTAAGTATGAGTACTACAGGGATACTTGAAAGATTATAATCAGGAGCAAAAAGAGGCTTAACAGAACAGTGAGCTGAAACTTAAAAGGATGAAATTAAACAGGGAAAAAAGTAAAGTCCTGCACCGAGATTCAAAAAATCAATTGTACAAACACAGGATCAAGAAGATATGTCTAGAAAACAGTGCATATGACTAAAAACTGTTGGGGGTATTACTGTACTGCACATTACATGAGTCAGAAATGTGATTTAAAAAAAAACCCAAACTGATCCAATCTTGAGGTGCATTAATATTAGTTTCAGACCAACGTAAGTGAGAATTCCATCGTACTTTGGCCCGTCAAACCACATCTGGAGCACTATGTTCAGTTCTGGGCATCTCATTTTAAAAAGATCTTGACAAGCTGAAATACATCCCAAAAGAGGATTACCAGGATGGTTAAGGGGTTTCAAAATCATGTTTTATGAGAATCAACTGAAGGAGCTAGGAATTCTGAGTCTGAAGAAGTCTTGGGGAACAGGAAAGATCATGACAACTATCTGAAGAGTGGTCACATGGAACAGGAATTAGACTTATTTTACTTCATCCTGAGGGGTACAACTAGAAGTGGAAGTTAGTTATAGGGAGGCAGATTTTGATTCAATATGTGGAAATATTATGAAACAACTGAAGCCGTCCAAAAATGGCATGAGATTCCCCAGTAGACAGTGAGTTCCGTGTGACTAGTGGTCTTTAGTGACATATTGATGACAATAATAACGTTAATAATAATAATGATCGTATCTATATAGCACCTATTACCAGGCATTGAGCTAAGCATTTTACATAACCTCATTTGATTCTTACAGCAGCCCTGGGATGTAGGTGCTTTTATTATCTCTGTTTTATAGTTGAGGAAACTGAGGCACATGAGATATTAAGTGACTTGCCTAAGGACACAAGGCTAGGAAGTGTTTGAGGAGAATTTGAACTCAAGTCTTCCTGACTCTGAGCCCACCGCTCTATAAACTGCACCACCTAGCTGCCTCTGTGCTAAAGATAAGATTCATGATTAAGGTGCAGATTCAGTTAGAGACCTTTGAGGTCCATTCCAATTCTGCAATTCTAAAATTTTAAGTTACAAAATGTAAATTATAGTAACTGCACTCATAAGGAATCTAAATGTAGATACTATAAGACACAGGGCAGATTGTGGTAGGAGATAAAAAAAGACAACTGAGTTAGCAGTATGTCTACCCCAAATGCTTCATCACCTGCCTGTGTAGCAATCTGTACCTTCATTTTGCTATTACAGTCTCTTCTACACTATAGTTATTATATTTCCCAATGGACTATAAGCTCCATTAAGGCAGGGACTATGCTTTAATTATCTTTCTATCTCCCCAAGTACCTACACAGTGCTTTGCACATAGTATGTGCTTAATAAATGGTTGCTAAACCACTGAATGACTGTTTAACGAAGTACAGCATACAAAATGGTTCAGAGAAGGAAGGTATGTACAGGCTTGTTGGAAGGATTATCCATTTACTGCTACACACACACACACACACACACACACACACACACACACATATATACATACTCTCACTCACCTACTCCATGCACATATAACAGCTCCTTGCCCATCACAAGCATGGAACTAGGGGTCAAAAAGACTTATTCCAAAGACTTGAGGGCAGCTAGGTAGCACAGTGAATAAAGCTCTGGCCTTGGTGTCAGGAGGACCTGAGTTCAAATCCAGCCTCAAACACTTAACACTTACTAGCTGTGTGACCCTGGGTAAGTCCCTTAACCTCGGATCACCTAAGCAAAAAACAAACACAAAAACAAAAAAACACCCCAAAGACTCAGACATAAAAGCCTGAAGCATATACTTAAGAGATAGCAAACGACAAATGGGATGACACAGCTATGAGAATGAGACACAAGGGACAGCTTTAAAGCATGACCGGAGGTTAGAATAAGGAATTTCATGGTTAGAAGTCATACCATACATAAAACACAAGAGATGAAAAAAGCTAACCCTAGTTACAGCAACAGAAGAAGAAAATGGCAGAAGTCAGTAATGAATAAGGAGACTGTAAGACCTAATTACATGAGATACAGATTTGCAAGTTATGAGGAGATAGCCAAGAAAGGCAATCAGACAGATCTTACCTTTCTCAAAACAATCTACATCTTTCAGCAAGTGAACAAATGAGCCACACAAGCCGAGTGGCCTTGAGTTCACTTTCTCTTCTGTGACTCAGTCCATTCTATGTAAAATGAAGGACTAACTGATCTTTAAGCTCTCCTACAGCTCCAGGGGATAGATGCAGAGTGTTTACAAATGAGGAACTACAAAGAAGAGCCACAGTGAAAGATGAGGATGTCCTCAAAGAAACATATAATCAAAAAAGAATATAGGCTGATCACATGGAGAGAGTGAGGGACAACCAGGTCCAGTCTCTGTGTTCTACTGGTATCCTTATGATATGAGAACAGGAAGAAGTCCTTGAACACACTGGGTGAATCCTTTGAGATGAACTCATGAGGCAACAGGCAGACATAAACACATTGTGGTCTTCATCATTTGAGGGAACATCCACAATGATGAGATCACAGATCATTCAAGTATTTAAGTGGTTCCAATGTTTTTATGATTCTACAATTCATTAATAACACAAAAAAATTATTCCCCAATCAAATGATTCTCTCTGTGCCAATGAAAAACAATGGTTATAAAGGTCTATCTTATGAGCAACAAGATGAAGCCAATTCAGCACAAAGACACCGATCACTATAACGGTGCTCAAGATTTTTAAATTTCACTCCATTTTGACCAGATCTGCCATCAAGGGTATTTTTGCCATTCATATAGACTCCATATCTGGCCCAGATCAATGACACACTTACTTACTCCCAAAGGACTGAAATTCCTGTCAGAAGAACAATTATAACAACCACAAAAATCTAGTAAGTGCCCCTATCTCACACTCAAAGTACCTCTGCCCCATCTGTTCCAAAATACAGGCAAAAAGTTAGAATCAATAGCTGTAAAGATGCTTACATGTTTTTCCCCTTCAATTTTCTTGTCAGCCACTTGCATTGCATCCAGGTATTTAAAATGCAACTCCATTAGTCTGTCAACCTATGAGAGAAAGAAAGATACACAGACATGAGTGAGAGGGAAAGAAAACACCAAGAGAAAGGAGCAATTCATTTCCTATTCATCTATTGGCCATTTCTTGTATCCCACAAGGCCTGTTCTCACAAAGGGAACCACACATCTCTGCTCCTCACATCCAAGAAATTCTCTGCTTAGGAACAGCTTAGGGAAAAATTAAAGAAAACAGACAACAAAGAACAAAGTGAGCACTCAAGATGAAGGTTTCTTGAATTTCAGCCTGTTTCCAACAGGACATGACACATTCCATTACTCACAGACCTACTAGGATTTCAAGTATTTAAAAAAAAAAAAGAGCCCTTGCCCTGCCCTGCAAAGAGGAGGGACTTGAAGTCATATACTTGACTTTCACTGAGAACTTTCCAGAGGTTTCTCCTTTCAAGCAAAAATCTTTCATATTTGGGATTTGCCCCAAAGCTGATTTTTTTTAAGGTATGAAAAAAATTTCTTTTGTTGATTTTTAAGTCATAGGAGAATAGAAGAAAGCTCTCTCAGCAGCTTAAAAAAAAAAGAACCCCGACTTCTGCTCAGCAAATAACTCAAACATCAGTTTCAAACTTGGAAAAGCAAGGCTTCAAACTTGGACCTAAGGAACCCTATGTAGGTTTGAAAAAGAAAAAAAGTTTCATTTTCTCTAAGACATCTAAGTGATTGAAAAATCGTTTTGAAGTATGCCCAGAATACTGACCTGTCTGTTTATTAGGCTTGTATCATCAGACTCGTGGCTGCCCTAGTATTTATCCAAGAGTTGACTGAATAAGACTAACTTCAGATGTGGTTTTTAAAACACATACACACGGTCTCTGGGAACCTATGGTTGTTTAAAGGTACAGCCTATGTCTAAGCTGGGGCCAAGTAAGGCCACAGGTGGCAAAATATGGGTCAAAAGAAAGGGCCTCATATCTCTCTGTAAGACAGGGACAAATGGCAACGACAATGTTTTCTACCGCAACATAGGCAGAAAATGAAAACCCAGGAGGCCAAACTGGGGTGTTCTGGCCCTGAGTGACACACACAACAATCATGGCTAAAAGCTGCCTATGTCCAAGTCTATATAATTCTCATACTCTGCTTTTCAAATAAGAACATATATTTGAGGGGCAGCCAGGTGGTAGAGTGGATAGACTACTGGCCCTGGAATCAGGAGGACCTGAGTTCAAATCCGGCCTCAGACACATAACACTTACTAGCTGTGTGACCCTGGGCAAGTCACTTAACCCCACTGCCTAGCCAAAAAAAAAAAAAAGAATATATATTTGATCCCACGTTTCACTATACCTTATACCATGGCTCATAAGTGACTGGCCTTGTGCAAAATTATGAAGTAGTTGGTGATATCTACTTTCATCAAGGGCTATGCTCCCTAGTCCTGGTTACCCCTTCCAGGTCTGGTTACTCTCCCCTCCCAGGGTTTCAATATAATATTCCCACAAGACCTTCTGATTCAATCATAAGGAATTAACTGCTTCAAGAACTAGACAATCTGTGGCCAGCACTCCTGTTCAGCACCTCCTTATTCACCAAAGGATTCAACTCCATTTTGGGTACCAGGCTGGCCATCACAGTCCAAAAATACTAGAGTACTCTCACCTTTTCACTATCATTTTCTGTGAATTTGTTCAGCAGACGAGTTCGTTGCTGCCCTCTCAGATTCCTCAGGAGGGAGGCCAGGATTGAACAGACATGCTCTGGGTTGGGAAGGAAAAAGAACACACTGAGGTCAGAGGTCAGATTATTACTCTCATTAGCTTGAGTGTGATCCTACCAAGGGTAAAATTAAGAAGCCTTCTTGGACTGCTACTGTTGATTAACTAAGTAAGAACCCAAATTATATCACCTGGAAACGAAGGATCTTTATTTAGAAGAGCAAGAAATATCAATTCCAAAAGAACGCTCTCTTCAAAGGCACCTTCAGAATCAAAATGAGTTAGAATCCCAATTTTGCCTCACATTAATTGATAGTCAATTTTCCTACAGCATAATTTCAAATAAAGCCTTTATTTACAGAAATGATCTGTGAACAGACTATTAATCCCATCCATTTAATATGAAAATAATGAATAAATAAGACTGATTCTACCAAATTCTCAATTCATCTTATAACTTTTCTACGTAAATATCCAAGAATTGAAAAAGACACATGACAGGGCACCATCCCCACAAGTTAGAATGATCCTTCATACACAGCTAAAATCCCAGTTTCAAGTCTGGAAGCATTTGAATCATTTATGAACTTCAAAATTACAGGGTTAGAGATCAGACCAGTGATTTCTCGTACAGGATTCCTAATGAGAAAACTTCCTCTACCAAACCAGGTTAGCACCTCTTCTGCAATTTATAATCTTAGAGAACTGCCTACGTCACTGAGAAATTAAATGACTTGTCCAGAGCACAAACAAGTATGTGTCAGAAGCAAAAGATGAACCTAGTTCTTCTTGGTACCAAGGCTAGCTCTCACCAAGCTGTTTCACTAATGCATCATACCAACTGGGCTCTGGGAATGAATCATTATCTTTCTTTTAGGCAGCTAGCTGGCACAGTGCATAAAGTGCTGGATTTAGAGTCATGAAGACCTGAATTTGAATTCTGCCTCAGACACTTACTAGCTGTGTGATCCTGGCCATATCACTTAACTTCCCTGTTTCAGTTTTCTCATCTATAAAATAGGGATAATAATATCACCTATCTCCCACAGGGTTGAAGCACTATATAAATGCTAGTTGTTATTTCTTTCTTTCTTTTTTTTTTTTGCCTTTTAAAAGAATCAAGAAGGGCTTGCTAAAAAAAAGGGGGGGGCAGAATCTTGCCAATGGTGAAAAATTTCAGCAGTTTATTTTCTTTTTTTAAAATTTTTTTGTCCTTTTAAAAAATTTTTATTAATTTATTTTGATTTACCAATAATCACTTCCATACGCTTTTGAGTTTAAAATTTTTCTCCCCCTTCCTCCCCAAGATGGCACACAATCTGATATAGGCTATACATCTACATTCCTATTTAAACATATTTTCACATTAGTGATGTTGTAAGTAAAAATTAAAACCAATAGGAGGAACCATCAGAAAGAGGAAACAAAACTCAACAGAAGAGGGGAAAAAAATAGCAATTCAACTTCCATAGTTCTTCTTTGGATGTGGATAGCATTTTCCATCACAAGGCCTCTGTAGATGTCTTAGATCCTTGTACTGCTGGGAAGGGTTAAGTTTATCAATATTAGTCATCGCACAATGTGGCTGTTATTGTGTACAACATTCTCTTGGTTTGAGCAGTTTATTTTCAAACACAAGACAGTTTAAAGGCATCTCTATATTCCAATGTCACCTTTGGTTTCCTTTATAGTCATTCATTCAACACTGCTAAGGAGGTCACAATTAGGCAAACTCTCTCCTCTAAATGGCTCCTTTTTTCTCACTTTAGCATAGCCTTGTTTTGTAAATGGAAAATGTACATACACAACAACTCTGCTCTCCTAGGCAAGGTACCCAAATCCATTTTTGAAAACTATATGGTTTCATTTGGCAGGCACAGGGAACCTGCAAAGTTCTGAGAGGTGTGTTATAGAAATAAACCTAATCCCTGTAGATAGGGTACAAAATCATAGACCTGGGAAGGGACTTGGAAATCAGTCCAATCTCTACATTTTACAGATGAAGTAACTGAAGACTAGAAAGAAGAAGGAACTTGGTCAAGTTTCTCTATTTTTCCTCTTCTTTTAAAGCCAAGATGTACACCTGAATGTCTCACAAGGACCTCCTATTGGATGCTGTCATTTTTTTTTTTAAATTATAAAAGCAGGTAAGGTCACATTTGCCTTTCTTACCAAGGGTGTGGACATGTCAGCAGGATGTGAATGGTTCTTAACGGTTTCTGTATTTGGGCTGGACATATGTATAGGGCTTATTCCTTGACAAAAAAGGCATAGGTGCTAACCAACTGGTTTTCTCCAGCAGGCTTTGATGGACAGAACAGGGAAAGTATGACATTCTTTGCTTGGATATGTGTTATATTCCAAGAAAAACTTCTAAGCAAATAATTCAAATGTAAACCCCAGATGTCATATGGAAACCAGTGTTTTTTCACTTAAATACTAGAAAAGCACACAAGAACACAATGTGAGTTATTTCTTGCTATACAGATTATATGTGCACCAAGGCTTTTCAAATCTTAGGTTTGCCTTGCTGTTCCCATTTAAAACCAGATAATGATCAATTTATTAAGTATGAGGTAGGCAGCATTGTGGAAAGAGCTTTTATTTGGAGTCAGAAGACCTGGGTTCAAAATCCTAACTTTTCTATTTACTACATAGGTGATCCTGGGCCTCTTCATGCATGTTAGTCTTCTTACGAGTAAAGTAAGAAGGCTGCATTAGATGATCAGAGGTTTCTTCCAGCACTAGATATAAGATCCTGTGAAACTGTTAAAGATAGGAGAAAGAACAAAAGAGAATTATGAAAGGTTTGAAAATGGAAGAACAGCATACCCAAAACAGGTAGGGGATAAATGTGCATTTTTATCAAAGAATAAGTTTTAATAAGATAAAAAAAAAGCCACATGGAAACTATATATTAGTCTTCCCCTTTTATAGAATCATCCTTTCCAAATTGGAAAAGACTCCGGATTCCAGGCAGTTCAACAGACACTGAACGGGAATTTCTCAATGATTTCTTTCCACTAATCTTGTTGATTAAGATTGATAACAAAGAGCTGCAATAAAACTCTCCTCCTATACCTCACCAAGGAACAGGGGAAGCAAGGCAAAGGAGAAAGGATGTCAGAATCTGTTACTGTCACCAAGGAAAATGTAATATATAGAAGAATCATCTTTTCTGGCATCAAACTAGATTAGCATGCACTTCCTCGGCTCCTCCTAGCCTCAGGCATGAGACACCTTGATCAATTGCAATGGTGTACTAAGGACAAATGACATTTACCTATTTATTTTGGACTGTAAGTAGAGGATAGGTTGTCAATTTACAGTATGCTGAAGCTACCTATATTTGTGCCACATATTCCACCAGGAATATTACCCTCTTTTGACTTACAGGTTACCCGTCTGCCAAACAGAAAGGAGGCTATTTTAAGCACCCACACACACACACACACACACACACACACACACACACACACACACACACACACACACACAGAGTTTCATTAGCTACTAATAAATGTAGCTTCCACAGGAACAGATTTCAGCCCAAGGTGGTGTCAATTTTTCATGCACCAAGGAGATTGGGAGAGCTGCTGGCAGGAAGAGCAGGGGAGATAACAGGTTTATCTGGTGGCCAGCACCATTCAGCTGCTCTGTCATTTCGACAGGATAAAATGGAGGTGAAGGATGGCTATGGATGCGTCAATGCAGACTGGGCGGATGTGGCTTGCATTGCAACCTCTAAGACAGTGACAGTATATACATAAATAGTCCCCTTCCCTTCTATTAAATAAGAGTCAGTGTTAAGGAATTAACATGGTTTTGGGGAAGTGAAATCAAATCTACACTTGCCAGTCACTAGTAACTCACCAGAGTTGCAACATGCCAAGTTATTTTCACTGTGCCAGTGCAAACTCCTGCCATGTCCAGCTTTGCTGTCAGATCACTGTCTATTTCAGACTCTAATTACTGAAAGTTGTATGAAGGGGCAGCCTGATCATACTCCCCTCAAAAGGGGATTAATGTGATGCTTAAGCCTTTGAAGAGGACTTCTCTTTCAGGTTTCTTTCTGATATGAGGCGTTAGCTCAATGGGTAAAAGCTCAGTACTAAGGAGAAGCCCACTGGACTGATATATTCAACAAACACTAAGCATCTACTATGTACCAGGTGTTAGCAGACAAAAAGCTTAAACAGAACATGGTCCTGATCCTCAGATAGCTCTGCTCCCTTTTTTGTAGTCACAGGGAGTACTTCCAAACTTTGGCTGACCTCTCAACACCGCCTAACAGGCATGCTGTTTGGGGGGCATATAGAGGGAGAGTGTGGCTAGATCAATACAACCTATTCCCACTCCTCAGTAAACACCGAAATAATATTAGGCTTGGGTTTTGTTGCTGTTGTTGATTTTAAATATCAAAGAGTGTTACTCTCCCAAGCAGACAGGCCAGGTTCAGCTATCTCCAAGCATGTATGTTCCATAAACACCAGTGGGTGTTTCAAAAAAAAAAATTCTGCATAAACAAATAGTGTCTTCACAGCTATTCTCACACAGATATGTGAAATATCTATAGCATTCAATGTCATCTCTTAAATACTTGACTTGTTTTCTATTAAATAACCCTATTATGTACATGTCCCTATGAACTCATTTAAGCCTGCTTGTGGTATTCTAACCAGCCCCTACAGATAAAAAATGGTGCTCAGACCAGTGAATGTTCTCAGCTGGTGGCCTAACTTTTTATCGCTGGGGATTTGTTGTTACCCTAAGATAGAGCAAGGCCAGTTCCATTCTTACTCTTTAATCCCTTAATAAATTAAAGTAGAAGGGCCTGTGTGACTGCCAATAAAATCAAATGATACCAGACTCACATCAGACAGCCCTGGGGGTGGTGGTGGCAATTTACTAGCAGCCAGAGGGTCACTGAAAATCTACATGGAAATAGCCCTACTGTTTAATAAAAATAAATGTATTCGGCCATGGTAATCACCTGCCCTTTGATCCTGCAACAAAACAGAAGCTGCATTTTATGATCAGTA